ACAGAGGTACGGAGTGATCATGAAAAAATGTTTATTTTTCACTCAAATATACTCTTCTAATTCCAACCATAGGTAGGTCGCAACGAATAACTAGATTTGCATTCTGATAAAATATTCTTTTTTACCACAACATATACGAGGGATCGGTCGGGGAACATTTTTAAAATTGTATTTATTTAATTAAATATTTAAGTTGGAAATTCTAAATTTTTTTGAACTTTTTACAATTTTTATTGCAATTTATATTATAAAAACCGATCGTCCTCTTGTACATATTATGGATAATCCCAATATTTTTTCAGAATTAAAATTGTGATAGGTAATTGTTGAGACGTACGTTGGAATTAGAAACAGTAGTTTTTGACAAAAAAAGACGTGGTAGTGAGGCCCCTTAACTTATAAATTATAATATGCCTAGTCATAAAATTTGTGAATGGTTTTATATTATTGCGTTTGTTTTCGTTGTATTGAAGTGTTATGAGGATGGGTCGGATTTCTTATGGACGGTCATGAATGTGATCGATATGTTTTTTTTACATCGCTGGTTACTTAATGTACCTAGGTCATGTTGATTCCGCAATTCAATAAGCCCGGACTAATTGGTATCATATACCTACTTATGGTGATCGCGTACAAATACTTGAAGTTCGAATCTTTATCTTATTGATATAATATTATATATTACACTCTTTATAGTGTCTTTGGTGACATCGTTCGTATTACAACCTACTTCAACCAAGCGTACAGAATGATTCGAATAATGTATTCGTAAGTATAATAATATACTATCTATACAAAGCAGTGAAACACAATGCTGTATATTTGCTGCATTGTAGCAGGGTAACAGGTTACTCATCACTAGGGAACGGATTTTTATACAAATGATATATATTATAGTACCTATAAACGCATTGGAATAAGCTATTTGAAATTTGATAAGAATTGTCCAGGATTTAGATTGTTCTTATTAAAATAACACTAATTGTATTTTACATATTTCACAAATTTCAACTTTTTCACCTGGTTTTGCATAATATTTGATACATATTCGTAATTTTACAGTGCATATTTTTGTTTTATCTTATATTTTCAGGTTCACAGCCACAATTTACTATTAATTATAAATTACCTATACTTATGAAAATGGGTAATATTTTACTTATTATTAGATTAAATTCAATAATGATACGTATTATGTAGTCTATCGGTTTACAATATTAATAACGATACAATTACGAACGTCTTCAAAGATAAGATTTCAGAGATTCAGTGCAATAAGTTCATAATCAATCCAAATCGATGTTCTACAAAAACTCTTTCTCCGTTTATGCCCTCATCCGACCCCTAGGTAAAACTCACCCCCTCCAACCACTAAACGTAGAATCAAACCCTACCCTCTAACATGGGTAGAACAATAACTTTAAAAAATCATCTTCAACAAACATCCATCCACTAGTAGAGGCAAAAGCCTGGTATAGTTAATGGCTCATCTCTACATCTTACAACTTGCTTCAAAGCAAAGCAAAACTGCAATACGCTAAAACATGAATTACAATTTTTGTTTCACTTTTTATTAAGGCAGAAAAGAATGTTTTTGGTGAAGAACAAAGTGTGACGATGAAATACCATTTTTAATACATACTTAATACATTATTTTAAATCAAATGCTTTTGATTAAATTGTTAGTACATAACACCTATTTTGTAGCATATTAAGGTATTTCTGAAAGCTTAAAATCCGTTCCTACTCATCGCTCTTTAATCGGTCTAAAATAAATTAAATTTACATAGGTAGTCACTATTACAGTATTATGATAATAATATATTATAATAGGTATAGGTAGGGACAGGCCCCCCTACTATTTTTATTTTTTTTTTGAGTACCAATACTATTTTTTTTTACTTGGACGGGGAATCGGTACAAACTAGTGTCCGAAATAATTTTTCTTAAAATGTGAATTTCAATTTATGTCAATTATATAACAAGTTTTACTATTTATATAAAAATTATTTTTGACATTAGCTTAATATAATATAGGCAAAACACAGGATGATATTATAATTAATTTAATATTTTTCTGTGTTTTGCCTATATTATAATCATTAGTTCACAGATCACAGATAATATACAAGTTTATTATTTAAGGCACAGATACTGGTGTGTGATAGTTATACCTTAAATCGTGTTCTGAATTAAATGTCATCAATTTCAGTTATGGTATCATTTATTGGTGTTTTTAAATTTTTAAATTTTTTTATACTTATCAAAATATGTGGTTTCTTTTGAATCAAAAACAATAATTATTAATTTCGTTATCTATATAGTATATTGAATAAACAGGTAGATTATTATGAATTTTTTTTCTACTGTAACAATCTAAGATGTAGATATTACATGTAGTGGTTTGTAAAAAAAATGCTATGATTCGATTTAATCTTTAAAGATTCCTACCTCTAAATAGGTACCTACCACAAACGGTAGAAATTTAGAGATTGAATGCAACATAATATTATATTCCATTTTGAATTTCAACCGTTGACAATTAGTATAATATAATATTATAGGGATATGATTTTGTCATTTTGATGCAATGTCATTTTTTTTCTGGTATTTAAAACGTAGCTTCGAATCATCGATTAACCTGTAGATTATTCACCGAGGTCTGCGGTTCGGCTGGTCGGTAAATAGATAATATTTAGTCCTCATTAGTCATTATACTCATAGTCACATAACAATATACAATATACAAACTTACTTATGAAAGAGCTTTTTTTACATTACTCGTCCACTGCAGCGATTCTTGGTGAATAAAAGCTATTCATCAGAAATTAGTCATTACTACCGACCGTTTTACTATCGAGGTACTCCAGTCTACGCCGGATTGCTTTCCTACAATGATTAACTATTAATTGTTATATGTACCACCTTGTAAGAAATAACTTGACAATATGGACTGTATTGACACTCGTACAACCATTACAAATTCAACCAATATTGATACTATATTATAATATTATATTTTATTGAAATGTGTATATTTTAAATAATACGAGGTAAATAAAATGTCCGCGATCGTCGGTTAAGGCGGCTCTTAGTGGCTATTATTTAAGGGGAACAATTTAGGCAATTTCTAATCTTGTCGTCGCCGCCCATAATCTATGTGTTAGTCGTAAATGATTATTAGTGTGAAATTCGAAGAAATTCGAACTCGATAACAATAGATTTTATATCGCCCGGCTGCGGGCACACGGTTCAATAGCACACGTACGCGCATGCACAAGTCAACGAATTCACTCTCGAAAAATATTTTTGTACACTCACAACAGTGAAAAATGCTAATAAGCTGTCGAAAAATACACATACTTCTAGTAGTCCAATTTCAATTTTGAAAAATTATTTGAATTCGTCAGCCTCTTTTCTATGATTTGTAGGAAACCGATTTTAGATATTTTAGATAATTTACGTATATTACGGTTCCAAATGACTGCTTGATTTCTCAAATTTAACTTGCACTTTTAAGTGCTAACTAGACAAAAAGATGAAAAAGTTTTTCCTACAGATCATAGAAAAGAGGCTAACGAATCCAAATAAGTATTCAAAATTGAATTTGGACTACTAGAAGTATGTGTATTTTTCGCCAGCTTATTGGTCTAAATGCATGAAAAATCCAATCGTTTAGAGCCGCCTTAATGGCAACGATTTTTATATTTTTGTTTTTCCTTGACACAGCCGGTCGTCTACGCTGGGACTCTGGTAGTCAGCACCGTTTGCATTTGGGTCCAGTTGTACGGGGCAGTGTTCTACGAGACGTCCAGACCTTACAACGCGATGGAACAGTCGTTGTACGCTGTTTTTAGCCACTGCACGTGGGCTGTCATATTTGTCTGGATAACGATATGCCATTTCACCTCAAGTCACGGTACGTCAAGGTGACCAATTTGCTTAAAAAAAAAAAACAAAACCGAAACGTTGAATCCACATTTTGTATAATATACACTGCTTGGGCGTTTCAGCCGATAGTTGTAGGGTTAATGATATTGTTTTTACTGAGATTTCATCAAGTGTTTTTATTATTATTTATTGCCGGTAACAATATTTATATTTTATACAAGATAATGTATCTAGGATTTAGATGAGTGAATTTTTTTATCTTGGATAAATTTCGATACTGGTGTCAACTACCGATGATAATCACCCACTCAACGCCACTGTGGCACTGTAACGTGTAAATGTCATATAAGAGACAAGTTTTACTTGCAAGCCAAATTGCCTAGTTCAAAATAACAATGATAATACACAGAAATTGGTCGCCCTGTAAGGGGCCGTTTCAACTGAGTCGTAGTAGCATTTCTGAACAGACTTATTTGGAGCTAGTGTACTTGGTCACAGCCTTAGTTCCTTCACTGACTACGTGTTTGGCCAATTCACCTGGCAAAAAAAGACGGACGGCAGTTTGAATTTCCGGGGTGGTAATGGTTCTGTGAGCCAAACGACTTCGAAGAGAATTCGGTCTCGATGCGGCAACTGGCCATCAGAAATGACGAGGAATTGAACAAATTGTTGTCCAGAGCGACCATCGTCCAAGGCGGTGTCTTGCCCAACATCCAAGCTGTCCTCTTCCCAAAGAAGACCTAGAAGAAAGCTTAACTTCTTGACCGGACACCTTATTAACCACCGAATACAATACATTTAAAACGGCACTTCTCAGTGCTACCAAAACTAAATTAACAATTTCATTCGAATCTCCTACCCTTTGTACTGACGTTGTTAACACTATGGAAAATATTACGTGAGTGTATAAGGAAAAGGACAAAGACTTGTTTGTTTTAATTAATTATACTTTTTATAAAGATCGCATTACACAAGCGGGTGTAAAACTAAAATGGCGATGTAAATTAAGGGGATCGCATGTCACGTATTTTTAGTACGTTTTAGACCGTTTCAGACGTCTTATGTGTAAATTACACATACTTCCGAAAGTCCGATTTTAATTTCTTATATATGTATGAATTCTTTGGAAAAATAACTAGGCTTTCTAGGAAGTCGATTTTCAGTTTTCAATTTTAAAGACCATAAAATTTAGATATTTTTTAAAAAATCTCATGAAATAATTGCATTACATTTGTATTAAATTTGGGCTTCTTGGGTTTTATATCAAAAAAGTGGTTCCTACAAAGCATAGTCTATGAGCTTACGAATTCAACCCTTTTTTCGAAATTACAATCAAACTTCAGGAAGGATGTTTAATTTACTACCGATTTTGGTAGTTTTTATATATATTGCTATTGCTATGAATGTCTGAGGAATAATTGGATGTATCAGACTTTTGTATTTTTCTTTCTGTTTGAGGTGTTTTCCGGATTTTTTGGCATGTATTTAGGTTTTATTTGTGAATTAGTAAGGTCTTGAATACAGTTTTAGGTCTCCTGGATCTGGTATTCCTAGAAGTTGTGTGTGCGGATAGTGGGATCTTGCGTTTTTGTTGAACATTATTGCAGTAGCTTTTCTGGCGTCTTCCTCGATTGACGGGATTTCTGTTTTATATTTGTTGCATAGAATAATATATTTCGTTTTTCTCTATTTATTGACATGTGAGTGTGCGTACGAGAGTGGCACACGGCGGATTCCGATCGTATTTACGCACACTAATGATCATTTACTTCACACACAACCACACTGCGTAATGAGTATAAGGCATCGAATTGCCTATACGCGACCCCTTATTAAATCACTGCATTCAATCCCCTG